ATTCAAAGTATGGCCAGGGCATCATTACATTTTGGAGGGGACGACTTATAAGTACTAGAAAAGAAGAAAAGCACAGTAACAGGAGTGACACCCTACCTTGGGGGCACTGTGAAATAAATTTTAATTTACTAGAAGTTTCCATTTGTTGGTAAACTCTGCTTTCTACCACACTTGCTTTCCAGGAACAGCCACATACTTTAGTGTTAGATAGGCTGCTAAGCAAAACAACTATGTACATTCAACATGGCTAACAGAAATGTTCATCTCTGCAGAACTTGCATCATGAAACGAATGCTGGCTCATTGCTCTTATTTCCATTATTTTCTTATCAATGATAGTGAACACTTCGAAGTTTCTCTTACTGCCTACATAAAAAAATCTTTCTTAAATCTTAAAATCTTCCTTAAATCTTAGTTAAAAGGTTACCTTATTTTCTAATATCTGTATTTTACCCATGCCTATAACATTCTATCAAGTCAAATTCATTTTTAAACATTTAGATAAGAACTGTCCAACCATTAGCCATATTAGGTTTTTGCCCTTAAAATTGTTTTAATTAATTGATTAATTTTTTTTTTAGACCTAGGGTCTCTCTCTGTTGCTCAGGCTATAGTGCAGTAGCAATATAGCTCACTGCAACCTTGAACTCCTGAGCTCAAGCTATCCTCCCACCTTGGACTCCTCAGTAGCTAGGACTATAGGCATGTGCCACTACGGTAGCTAATTTTTAACATTTTTTGTAGAGACAGAGTCTCTCACTACATTTGCAGGTTGGTCTTGAATTCCCCCCTCAGTGCTGGGATTATAGGATGAACCACTGTGCCTGGTCTCAAAATTGTTTTATATACTGGATAATCAGTGAGCACCTTGCATAACCTCAAAGAAGGTATCTAGAAAGAAGCCTTCAACTGCAATTCTGAACAAAAACCAAAACAGGTTTGTGTTTAAGAAATAGTTTTTCTTTTTAATGTGAAATCAGTCTTCATCATGAATATTACTGATCCCCAAATCTAGTTAAGAATCATGAAATTCCTAAAA